CCGAGAGGGTGGCCCCGATGGAGGACGAAGAGCGCCAGACAGAGAACATCGCGGGGTTCGAGCGAGAGCCAATGGTCTATTGCCTTTGAATTGGAAATTACGTTTCGAACGGCCGGTCAAGTGTCGATACCCACCCCTGCCGTTAACAGCTCGACCCTCAGGGTTCGCACCTCGACCTTGATCACCGGTGGATCAGTCGAGCCGGCCGGTGTATTAAGCCGCGAACACGACGCGACGGTTCGAAGAAACGCTCCTCGACCGTACTTTTTATCGAGCAAACAGATTCCGCTCGCCATTCTGGTTGCGAGAATTTTTCGATGATTTTACGATAGCTAGCGGCATCGAATGGGGAAGGAGGTTCTCGTCGGTGGCGCGAGAGGCGCAACGACACGACGAGTATTTCGCACAGCCAGTCGAATGATTTAATCCCCGAATGATGGACGGGCACGTCGCGACGATGATCTGCGTGCCGTGAAGTGACAAGTGGTTAGGATCACGGGGAAACCTCGGTGGCGGATGACGGTGGCTGATGGCGGGTCGAGGGTGGTATCGAGGAGGGGTGGTTGGTAGTCGGTGGTCGACGTCGGTGTCGTATCGGTGACGGGACCCGGGCTCTGTCCGGTGGATGGATTTGAGGAGGGCGGGAAGGAGGGCGCGAGCTCGCACCGTACAAATCATGCGGGCATTACAGCGTCACGCCTGGACTCAACCTGTCGCGCGACCGGAAACTCGATGCCGACGGTTAATGCTGATTTATCGGAAGCGCCGCGTTTCCACCAGCCGATTTCGAGGTTACGTTTTCCCGCGTCGCGATCGCCTATCCTACAGCCGCCGTTCTACGCGAAACCGATCGACGACATCGACGATACCTCTAAACGCTTCTTTCTTTTCAACGATACAGTCTGCCAAAAACAAAAGTAGACGCTTCGATTTTACGTCGAAAACCTGGTTATACCGTTCGCTTTGCAACGATGTTTGTTTTAAGTAATATCGATTTAATATACGGGTAAAACAAGAACCCCGTCGATTATTTTTAATGGACGGTAGTCTCGATTGAATCCTACCTGTCGAGATGTTTGACAATATCTTCGTAGGCAGCTCGGCAGTTTTCCCACATCGGCCCGGACCTGTGGATTACAAAAAAGACGACACTTGAGATACGAGAAAATGAAACGAAGACGGGACGATCTAGAGCATCGTCGACCGCGGGAAAGAAAAACGGAAACGAAGCAGGAGCAAGGGTGCGCGTTAAGAGCAGGGTACGTCAAGGGAAGAAGCAGTCGTAAGCAGGAAAGACGCGGGTTGATAAGCGAATCGGTTAATTATAAGCCTGCCACGGGATATCCTCGAGGAAAGTGGATCCGCGCAGTTGATTAAGAGTCCTCGTCTCGTCTTTCGTTTGTCCTTTGATTCGAATCGTGGCTGTCCCGTGCCCGAAAACGAACGCGCTTTGAAGTCGTCGCTGATTAAAAAAGACGTCGTTGGTTCCCTTAGCTCGGCTAATTTACTCGTCGTATCGGAAAAGGGAGCGTGATAAACCGGCAAAGAAACAGGATATCGAACAATCGGAAAATGATACCCGTCGAAGAGTCTGTTCCCATTACGCGTCTACGACATTTTGAAATTTGAAAACTCGCTATCGAACATTGAAAATGGCAATATGGTCCCAAATAGTCCTTATCGAGATGGCACTCGAAGGATCGTACGTCGAATTCTCGCGACCGCGACCGCTATGGACTACGATTCCGGTAAATCGCTGGAAGTCGAAGGAACGAGAGGGCTGCTTGTCCCTGAATCGAAGGGTGGCGATAGGGTGACGGCGGTGCGACCAGGATGGGGTTGCGTTGAATTAATCATATTCCGGTGTTTGTCGTGCCGCCCCCAGACGTAATCCGTCTTACCTCCCGATCTCTCTCGCTCGTCTGCCACGATAGATTTGCATTTTAATTAAAAGCAAAGCGGTGAAATCATAATGCGAAACGTGCGGCGCCGCCTTCGTCGCGTCATTATACGAACACCCGAAAGGACACGGTCTACCCGCCACCGGCCTTTGGATTTCCCCTCCGAACGATTCACCGGCAAACCCTAGACCTGCTGGACTATTCTTCGAAAAACTGAGTTCGACAGTTTCGCTTAATCCGCGAAAGATTCCCCCGATGGAACGGCGGACGAAGGAGCTGGTTAAGTCGGACGACGAATAGGACGAGGCTAATTACGGCTGGCTGGTGTAATCGAAAATTAAGGCGAATCCTCGTATCCCCGAAAGCCCCGTGGCTTCGAGTGGAACCGAGAGAACGGGGGCGCGCCACTAACAGCATCTATTAGAAACGCGTTAACAAATGCCAGGATTAGCCTCGAGACTATTCTCCCCCGGAGCAGCAGGATTCTCCTTCGATACGGTTCCTGCAACCCGTTGGCTCGTCTTTCGGTGTGTTTCGCAGCAACGACGGAACTGCCTGCCCGTAATCTACGATATACGTCTCGAAACCGCAACGCGTCGAGGATTTGCCGCTTCAACGGAGAATCTGCCCTCTCGATGGAACGCGCACCAACACCTTCCTGTTTTCTTCTCGCGCGTAATATTAAACGATTTCGCGAAATAAAACGATCACGCTTGCGCAACGATCGAGAAAAGGCTCGCGAAAAACCGATGAATCCGTGGAGGTAGCGCGAGTAACTCGAGACGGGTAAACGAGCTAGAAAAGGTCGGAGAGGAAACGGACTTCGAAGACGGCCGCGAAGACCAAGGTGGAACAGGGAAGGAAAGATCAAGCAGTGTCGAGACCCCTCGGATTTCCACGGCTTCGCCGTCTCTTCAAATCCTCTTAAAGTTGTATTCTTTTGGCCTCGCTGGCCCTTCGTTGCGATCACCCCGGGAGGCTAGACTGTGCCGCTAGTTCTCCCGACAATCGAGCCGTTCGAACACGGTCCTGTCGAAAATCGTGCGGACGAAACACGTACACGTTCGCTTACGAGTAAGCGTACTCGTTGTACGATTCAAATCATCCGTTCGATCGGTAAACGATAATTCGACAAGATCTTTGGCGACTCCTCTGTTCGCGTATCGTTACTTCCGAACGAGTTAAGCTTACCTCGCGAAAGCCTCCAGGGTCGACATGTTCGGATTCGCTTTCATGCCCTGCTCGGCTCGCGCCTGAGCCTGCGCCTGCAGGTGATGCGGCAGACTGGCCGGCGACAGGATGGCTGTGTGTCCTGCACCTGGATGTCCACCCAATTGCATGAATTGCATGTGGCTGAGATGCGTGGGCGGGTGATTGTAGCCGTTCGCGAGCAGCGGCGACTTTTCCATCCTCGGCACGTCTGAAACCAGGAGCGGATAGATTAGTGAACCGCGAACGTATCCCGTCCGTGAACACCGGACGCGTATTTGTTCGCGGAGAATTTTGGAAGTTACCGAAATCGCGATATGTCTCGATCACGCGATGGTCGAGCGTCACGAGCGGATCAAACTTCTTTCCGAAAGAGACGAACAACAAAGTTGCGCTAACGTCCGTGGCATGAGCACGGCTCGACGTTTATCGACAGGCCCGTGGTAGCATTTTGAGATTCCAGTCATGCGAAGACGACGCCGAAGATGATGCTATTGCGAGAGTTGGATCGGAGATGGATCGTCGGAGAGGTAGCGAGGGTGCAGCGGACGAAAGAAGGAGATACAGAGGGGCCGAACGAGAGCAGGGAATAGGAGAGGAAGGGGTAGAAAATGAGCGGTGCCTATTCATTACAAATTATCTAAATGGCAGTGATTTCGGCGGACCGGCTGGCCGTTTGACGAGTAAGTGGCGGGTTTGCTAGACAGTGACTGTCGATCCGGTACGGCGTTGCTCGGTGGAGCGACGCCGATGAACGCGCTGTCTCGATCGTTTGACAACCACTGTGGGACCCGGCCCATGACCGGCCCTAAAATTGGACTTATTACAACTTATAGAGCGCGATTTGAACGCTCCGCTCAATAACATACATTATCCCCAATCCATATGATTTAATGAAATCCCTCTAAACTCTCCACTTAGCCTCAGTACCTTCTCGCGCAGTGTATCCTTCCCCCTTTTTTTCCTTTTTCTTCCCCCTGCCCGTTGCGTATGTGCTCTTTCGCAGATTGCTACGTGCGTACGAAGGACAGAGAGCGAGAGAGAGAGAGAGAGAAGGAGAGGCGGAGAAGGAAAGCGCGAGCGGAGAGAAGGTCGTGAACGAAGCGAGAGCTCGACGGCACGTTCCGATCACCGAGGATACTTAAAACGCGCGTTGGCCGATTTTATAACCTCGACAACGGCTATTTGCCGGTCGCGATACGCTCGACGTCGTAACGCACACGACCGATGAAGACGTTTCGAACGCGCTCGGGGTCAAGAGCCCCGAGGAGTCGCTCGGTCCTGGAAAATCGAACGCGGCGAAAATCGCTCGTCGCCGAGATCAATTGTCGGTCGACCGCGAGGGACGATAAAACGCAATTTGAGCTAAAGACCGCGCTCCTATAACTTCCCACCCTTGGCTCCGCGCTCGTGGCTGATGAGGTGACAACCCATAATTATACAGACCGCATTCTGTCTGGCCTGACTGCAGTGGCATGCGGAGGAGAGGCCTCCATCATCCTCCTCCACCTTTTCCCCTCTCCGTCGTGTCTTTCTTCTCGTTCAACTTCTTCTCCTCCTCCTCCTCCTTCTCTTCTTCGGCTACTTCTCCTTGTTCTTCGTTTTCTTGGTCCTCTCGACTTCTGACCGCGCGTTCTCTCTCTCTACCTTTCCTCTCGTTATTCTTTATCTTTCGTTTTCGTCCAGAACTCTCTTCTCTCGTCGTTGAACCCTCTGCAGCCGTACTCGGAAAGTCGAAAGTCTCTTCGGCATGAACGCGTCGTGCAGCGATACGTAGAATTCGAACATCCAGAGATACGGGAATCGATCGGATCTCGATTTGGTCGATTCGCGTTTTAGATATTCTAGTCCGGGCATACGGTTATCGCGAGTGCAAGGGGTTAATAACGACGAAGCGAACGCGAGAGAAGAAGAAGGAGGGTCAGCCAGTCAGCCAGCGAGCGGTGGAGTAGTCACCTCCGCCCTCGTGCCGCGCGTCTCGTGCCCGTAGGAGAAGGACGACCGTGCTACTTCTTTTCTGGTGTTAATTACAAAACGCGAGAATAAATTGCCGAGCTAAATGAGTGTGCCCAGAGTGTATCTCTCCTCGTCACGTCCGTTCCGACGTTCTTCGTCCGCAACGCTCGACGGACAGACGAATGGAAGAAGGCGAGTCGAGCCGTTCGCGCAGGTGGAATTCGTTATGCGTTGCGATCACGGATTCGGCTCGATGAAAAAACTCTGGCAAAACATCGTTTCTAACCACCGTTGCACCCGAAATATTTCCTTCGATCTTTTACCCTCGAGGATAGACGGCTCCCTTTATAGCTTTTCCGTTCGATGGCCCCAAACACCGAGAAACGTTTCTCTTTGCTCGAGTGACCATCGAGAGAACAGACGAGCATCGTGAAATTATTCGGAAAATTCGCCCTTTGTTCCCACCCCCTGCAAGGATGCCATTGTTCTTACCAAACGACGAAGAAACACAACGCCCGACCACGGTAACGCGCGTTATTTGCGCTTAGGTATGTATATGTTTACCCTCGACACCGACTCCCTCAAAACCCTTGGATTTAACCCTCGAACACCGACCCTCCAGCTACGGCCGATGACATCGCGACCCTTTAAGTACTTTCCCTGCCATCCCCCGTCTTCTTCGCTACTCTACGTTTTCTTCAAAGTTCTAAGATCCAAGTACCTCGGTCGTACTCTAATTCGGTATTGCTAACGCACCACGAGTACGAAATTCGCTCCGTTCGCCGAAATCTTCGAAGAAGACGTCGTTCCACCATTCGGTCGCTCTTAACGAACGACGACGGGTCGAAGAACGGTGGGAGATGCCTTCTCCTCGCGTCCCGTTCAGCGAAAAGAAGCTGAACCCGCTGGAAAAGTACGCCGCCCGTACCGAAAGGGTTAACCAGGGTTCGTACACGTGCATCTTCGACGCGTATTGGGTATATACGTAAACACGAGACGGGAAACAGAGTTTCGCTCTGGTGGAATCCGGTTTTTCAAGTAATCGAGGGAGACTCGAAGCCCAGGCGTAGCAGCGAGGCAGGCAGTCAGGCAGGCAGGCGAGCAGGCGAACAGGCAAGCAAACAGGCAGACAGGCAGGCGGGCAGCCATCGAGGTAGCTCCCTTGTGTCCAGTTTCGAAAGAACGGAGAAGAGAGTGGATGCCATAGGTATACGCGTACAACCTCTTCTCGCTCCTCCTTCGACTGGCTGTTCTTCTTTCCTCGCTTTCCTCTTTCACCACACCCATTCTTCTTAATCGCGAGCCGCGCGTATTGAGACGTACGTCGCTGTCTCGCGCTTGTCCGTTTTACTCTTCTGTGTTTAACCTTCTCTCTGCGATACTTCTTCGAGGTATTTCTTCATTTTCCACCGGCACGAAATGTATTATTCGCGCTCGCGATGGTGTGACGTTATTTTCTTTCTCAAAACTCGAATTGATTTCGAGAACGTGGAAGGTAAGGCAGGATCATTAATTAGAATCTTTGTCCGAGACGAGTCGAGTCGTCTAGCTCCGCCGAGTGTCAAGTGTCTAGTGTCGTTTAACAGAACGGTGGAGAACGTTGGAATTCTGCAACGACGAAAGTTTCGACTCTTTAATGATTGAAACGGACATTATCGAAAATGAGTTTCAGCCCGTAGCAGTTGGAGAAATGTTGGTGGCAGTCCGCAGCCTTCCATTGAGACATAGAAAAGTGACGGTGAATGGAAGAAGGGTGGACAAGCGAAAGATACGAGCTTTTAAACGCGATAGCGCTTTCGAGACGACTAGTTTCCTTTTCCGAAGGTTCTTCGTATAGTCTTCGTTCGTTCGATCGCTCGCGGTGCGGCGTGGCGCGGTGCAGAGGTCCAGTATTTGTTCTACCAGGGTCGCCACGGACACGGGCATCATCCGAGGGCAGTAAACCTTTTGATATATAGTCGAAGGTTTTTAGAGTTCTGTCAGCCACGCCCACAATCAGCCTTAGTATTATTTACACTCCTCTCGGTGGTTTGTAGTCGCTTGTCTCGCTTCATCGTCCTCTTCTTGTACCTCCGCTCTTCTGCATCCACGCTTTTTACTCGTTTCTCATGGTGTTCTTACTCGTCTATCCACCTTGCTTGTTCGCCAACGTCATTCTCCGTTTTTCCGTTTTTCCGTTTTTCGTACGTCGCATTTCAAACGGAGAAAATCCTTTCCGTCTTCCGCGTAGTCGACGATCGAGGTACCACGAATTTATGAAATTAGATACGATCGCGAAATTATCTATTCGGAGCGTGTAGCTGGTACTCGATCGCATAGCCGCTGGGCAAGATTTCGGATTTCGCCGCGGATCGGCTTCGGCACGCAACGCGAAACCAACGACGTGGCGAGAGAGAAAGGGACGCATATTTTATTTCGGAAATGATGATGATACGCACGAAATCTCCCTCTACCGGTCGAGCATTCTTCTGCAAGGTTTTATCGCCCCGATTCCCCTTCGGTGAACCCTTTTTTTTCGACTTTTTCCGACATCGCCTTTTGCCACGATCTCGAATGGCGCCGATCGGTCCTTTAGAGCGTACACTCTTTCGAATCGTTTCCCTTTTTTCCGAGTTTCTTCGTACCACGCGCATAATTAGATTCCTTCTACTTTTTCGTATCTCCTTTCTAAGCATCATCGATTTCTCGCGTCTGTTTTCGCTTTCTACCTACATTAAATTGTATCGAAGAGTATTTTATTCGTTCATAAAATAACTAAGTATTTAAATCCCATCTGTATCGCGCAAAATCGACGAGGTTCCCATTCTAACCAGGATGGTGGATAATAAAAATCCCGGTAGGCATTGTACGATAAAGGAAACCGGTATCGAGCGCGTCCTCTTTCTCTCTCTCTCTCTCTCTCTCTCTCCCTCTAGCTCGATCTTTTTCGGAAATCTCCGTCCAGCCTCCCTCGTTCTATCTTTCTCGAATCGTTCCGTGGCGATTCGCGCGGTGCGGCACGGCGAGAGGTACCTTTTTAGGCAGGCTTACCTTCGGCGACGGACAAAAGTGCCCCGTCCCAGCTTCTGGGCCCAACCAGTCGGAAGATATTAATAACAAAATATGATATAATGGGAGCATCCCCGACGAAATACAATACAATGTTTATGCAGAGGATTAACCGATGTTCCGTGTATAGGAGCGAGCACGTGAAAAAAGTATCGACCCTAAACGAGACGAGAGAGACGAGGCCGATGGTCCGAGCGGACTATTGCA